ACAAAAAAATCACTATTTTTTCTAGTATTATAGGTACAAATATTAACGGAGAATGTTAACATAAATAATCGTTTGAAAAGATACGTAAACCGTCGACAGGTCAACAGAATGAAACGAAGGAGAAAAGAAGCGCACGCAGTTCCAACATATTCGGTGGAAGATGAAATTGGCGGATATAGTGCTGAGGATGAGGAAGATGATGAGGAGGAAGGGGAAGATTTGGAGAGAGAGGAAACGGAAGAAGAGGACAGCAGATTTGCGCTAACAAAAGAAGATGTGACAAGAAGTGACAGGATGATATATGGTTGGTGGTTTTGATCAGTCATTCTTTCATTTTTTCATTTGGAAACTGATATTTTTTCTCTTCATCTTAAAATTTTCAAGTCTTTAAGGCCACAGATTGGGTAAGTTTTCCATCTAAAATGGAAACTTTCCCTCCATTTGATTATATGAATTCTAAAGACGATTAGTGGATGCAGTGCGAGTAAGTTAAAAAAGTAGTGTAACAAAAATAAGCGAAAACTTGAAATTTCAAAGTAAAATCTATTATTTTATATTTCACAGCTTTGATGAGCAAAGGTTTAAGATAAAAATGAAATGACCTTTGATGCCATTTTGCTGGAAATAAGGGATGCACTTCAAGTTTGCAGCAATTACAGCAAGCGAATCACCAGGTTCATAAAGAAACCCTTTTTGCCGAGAATCATATTTCGATCTCGAAATCCAACTAGGCCTTTATAATTTGCATCAAAGTTGCAGTGGCAAAGTATATTTGAAAATTTTATCCTATACACATCATAACATTTATCCTAAATTAATTTAAGTGCGATATTAAGAAAAGTAGAAATGCTACAAGGGAAGAACAATTAAAAAACAAACTTAGGAAGTACCTCAGCTTAAAAATATAGGTTTCATACAATCAGAGAAAAATTGTTTTAAATTAGAATTCAAACTAAAACTAATTTGAAGCTGACGAATCAGATCAAAGCTTAAAAATGTTTACCTCACCGCTATCAAACGCAGCACTAAAATCATGTTCGCCTTTCTTCATCATATCAATCGGTTGTTTTGCGTAAGTCAAATTCGAATCCGGATGCCCACTACCGAAATCAGATTTTGGAGTTATGTAAAACGTGACCAAAAATTATTTGGAAGATTAACTTCAGCTTCATTAGAATAAAATAGGCTTGAAAATTTGTTAGGTGGAGAAAAATTAGTTTTTATGTCCGACATCAAAATCAGGAGCGAAATGAAAAATGTCAATTTTACTGCTGTAGAAGGAGAGAATTCAAATCTAGCTAAACCTTAGTAACAATGACAAATTAAGCTTTTTTAAAACCTAATTCATTTTATCATCCTTTGTTTTAGTAGAATTATCTTCAGTAATAAAAACGAATGCTTAGAGTAGTTGAGAAGCCAGAATTCCTCCATTAACAAGTTACTGGATAAAATTTTACTGGGTTAATAATTCACTGCATGAAACTCGGAACGGTCTCCGTGAATGTATAAGTATTGTTGAGGAAAACGAAAGCTTTCGATATTTCTTTTTAATCTTGTTCCTTTGAAAAAAAAAAAAAAAGAATTCTTAGAAGATCCTCAAAATCATGTGAAATTCACAAATTAAATTAAATGAGAAAATAAGGAATTAAGAAATAGATAAATACAAAATTCAATTATTTATGTTCTAGCAATAAGATAATAATAGTTTATAATCTTTCTATATTTGTAGAGCAGAGTGGCATTGGCAGAAATAACACAAAATATACCAAAACATCTGGAATTTATGACGATAGAAAATTTAGCGGTATCGGTGCAAGAACTGTGACAGCTGGAACTACTGAAAACGCATGTTGTAGTTGCGGTGTTGGAGCTGCTGGACCACCGGGTCCTCCAGGACCTGACGGTGAAAATGGTTTGTCATTTGCATCATTATGATGTTTTAAACTTCATCATTTTTTCGAAACAAATTCTATTTTAGGTGCTGATGGACCACCTGGAGCACATGGATCACCCGGTAGAGATGCCGAGCCAAATGCAAGACCGAAACCAGAAGATTTGTGCTTTGATTGCCCTCCTGGTCCAGCAGGACCAGCTGGAGCTCCAGGACCGAAAGGATTCCCAGGGCCAACCGGAAAGCGAGGAGTAAGTGGAGGAGGATCTTTGCTGCCAGGACCACCAGGATCACCTGGGCCTCGTGGACTACAAGGACCTCCGGGACCTTCAGGACCACCAGGGGCTAGTGGTTTACCTGGTGTTCTCAGTGAATATCCTGGACTACAAGGGCCACCAGGTCTTCCGGGACCAATTGGACAACCTGGTAAAACGGGACAACCTGGTACGATTGGTAGACCTGGACCTATTGGTCCAGTAGGACCACCAGGTGATCCTGGGCCACAGGGTACGCCAGGAGAAAATGGGCTAAATGGAAGGCCAGGATTATTTGGCAAGGAAGGAAAACAAGGCTCGTGTGACCATTGCCCACCACCTCGTACTTCTCCTGGTTATTAACTTTTTATGAATATCATGTTTAATTATCTTTTCAGTCATTTTAAAACGATCTTAAAGTCAGCAAAATCATTTAAATCAAAAGAAAAATCAAAATCACTTTTTCAGAATAATATTTTCTAGCCAAAAATTTGAATATTGTCGTGATCTTAAAAATGTGATCTTAAATTATGTGTGCTTTTAATTTAGAGAAAGCTTTTTGAAAGAAAACTGAAAGGGTAATTGCACTCGTAAACTTTATCAATCACTTTTACTTATATCTTTTTGCGCACTTTTGCATTTCAATTTTAATCAAAAAATTCCAGTTTCTTGTTTTGTTTTAAGAAATATTTTATTACTAAGAATATTTGCAGTTTTTTGCTCAACCTTTCAAACTGAAGAAATTTTCAAATGCGTACTTTTTTCCTTAATTTTTCCAATTTTGGTCATAAATTTTAACCAACTGTTTGCTGAGAAGAGACTGAAAAAATCTGAGGAAAAATTTATTTTCTTCAATTATGCAATTTGCAATACATTTGCATGCACTTGGTAAAAGTCTTCACGTATATTGATCTGAATTTTCGAAATAGTTTTGAAATTTCTTCGAAGCAAATTACAGAGTATCAGGAGGATTGAAAAAAAAATCAAGGAAAAAATATGTATTTGAAAATTTCTTTTTGAAAAGTTTGTATTAAGAGATCTAAACAAGATGTTACAGAATAAAAATGTTACACATACACATTTCCGAATACATCTTTAGATTTCAAGAATTTCAGACTTTTACTTTGAAACTACTTAGCCACTAAGAGGTTAGGGAAGTCGGATTTGTTGAAAAGACTTCGACGATTCGCAAAAGTCTGAACATAATCAAAAACAATATACAAAATGCGAAATGAATTTCTGCTATGTCTAATTTGTAAATAATTTCGAAAAAAAAATTTGAAAATGTCTGCATAGTATTTCTTTTGTTTCTTTCCATGTCCGATCAATAAACTCTTCTTCTCATGCTTTTTTCTCTTTTACTGAAAATTTTTTGCAAAAAATTTTTTAATTATTATTCTTTCAAATGAACTCATAAGAAATGATGTACGATCCTTTCACTTTCACTTCATTTCAATTCCCAATTCCACTCTTAAAAAGGCTGCATTAAAATTGTTTTATGTCAACTTTTTTTTAAAATATAATTGGACAACAGTGTACCAACTTGTTTTCTGTTGAACTTTGAACTTATTATAAAGATTATTGGAAATTCACACTGCATGCATGCATCCTCTTACCAAATATGAATCTGCTTGTTCTGTATAAAGACCGAAATAGCCTTTTCTCACTTTTTGCTCTTAGCCTTATTACGATGATTCAAGAACTTAGAAAATGAAAATTCTCTCTTATTTATTTTGGAATTTCTTTAGATGAAATTCAATTTTCCAAATTCTGCCAATAGCTACAGTAAGTACGTTTCAATATTCACTTGAATATTCAAATTTTTTCCTTGTCCTCAAATAAATTAAATCACAAATATTTCGTACTTTTTTAGTGATTTTTTGAATATTTGTTCAGCTGAGTCAATCTTAAGTAATTTTTTAAAGCAAAAAATTCACTCAAATCTAAGTAAAAAAACTGTAAAACTTCATTAGATGACCCATTTTCTCTAAAAATGACTATAATTAGCTTATCCGATCATTTTGATACCAAATATTTATCTTTCATTTAGTGCTCGAAAATTTAAAAAATTATTTGAAAGCGTGGAGGTAACAATTACTCAATTAAACTGAACCGAGGCAAAGTTGAGTTTAAAAAAGTCGAGAAATATAAAATGCATGCAAAAAAACAAAAAAAAAAAAAAAAAACTGGACTTATCGTGACTGAGAGCTTACTCTCATATATATCGCATCTTTGTTCATTGATTAAAAAGCAAACTTTCACCAAATAAATTTTATTAAATTATTAAGGGTAAGAACACTTTGTGATGTCAAAATCGTTATCTAGGCTAATCATTCAATGTGATACACTTCGTCGTCTGCTAAACTATTTCATCTAATTTTTGGGTCAGCAAGTGGCACTACCTTCAAGTAACGCGTCATTTAAATACATTTGACAAAACAAAATGATAAAAAATAAAATATTATTGCTTAAATTAAAGAAATGAGATTCATAAGGACTGAAAATTGCTAATTATTTCAATAATTCAATGATTTAAATATACAGAAATAGAAGTCATAATGGTTATTTTGACTTTTGAAACTTTTCATCCACATTTATTTACCTTCAACATTACATATTCCAGTGTCAAACATGGATTACAAATAATTTATTCATCATTTTTGCATCGGTCAAAAGACCGAGGAGAAATCCCCCAAATTCCTCAAATAATATACCGTACAAAAACCGTTTGCTAAATTGGCAACGCACTTCAATCATCAGAATATGAAAAAAAAAAAAAAAAAAAAAAAAGCATTTGAAATGAAACCAGAAATGATAATTACAACACTAAAGTAAGAAATCAACGATATTGCTATTTAATACCCTGGAGGGGTTCGCGGTACTGGACAGTGATCACAACTGCCACTTAGACCTCTTTCTCCTGCTATACCTTGATCTCCTTTCTCTCCTTCTTTACCTGCATAACCGTTTTTACCCTTTTTTCCTTGCGATCCTTGAGGACCGGGCTGTCCCTTTTTACCATTCATTCCTTTTTCTCCCATTGGACCGGGCAAACCCTTTGGCCCTGGTAAACCCGGCGGTCCAGGAGGCCCAAGTGTTTTAATAATTTCCCCCGGTGGGCCAGAATGACCACGAGGCCCAGGAGGCCCTGGAATACCAACTGGCCCAGGCGGTCCACATGCTCCTGGCAACCCAGGTAATGACGCTGCCCCCGTCGGCCCTGGTGCTCCATCTGGACCATTTGGACCTTTTGGTCCTGGCAGTCCTACATCTCCAGGTAGTCCTGGTGGGCATCTGAAGCAAAAATCGTACATAGATTGTGCAGCAAGTCCTGCATCTACTCCTGGCAGTCCATCTTGACCAGGCTTTCCATCTTTACCTGAAAAAATGAAAAAACAACTTTAAAGTTTGTAATATGAATAACAGAATCTAGGGAAATGGTACTGTAAAATGATAATTTACATTTTACAATATTATCAATTCCTTATCGATCTAGTTTTCTTAAGAACTGATTTATCCTTTTAACAAAATTAAACAGCATCTTCTCCATTGGTAAGCTTAAATATCCCTCACTTGCTACTTTCACAACGATAAATGAAGCATACCGTCCTTCCCTCTTAATCCAGGTGGTCCAGTTGATCCAGGAGAACCAACTTTACAGCTACAACAACCCCCATCATTGTCAGTAGCACCAGTATATCCATTGCCCTTATTCATATTTTCATTCTCTTCCGATTGACTTAATTCTTCAGATATTCCGGCAAATTCGTCGATAGGTTCCTGTTCACTATCACTTCCTGCAGGAGTGCTGGACTTATCAGCGCTGTAACTGTCATAATTACCTTGCCATTCTTCACTATGAAGTTCAGAAGCTCGAATTTGTACGGATAATGGACGCTTTATTGATTTACTTACGCGTTGGTAATGAGTGCCACGTTTGTTCCGTCCTTTTATGATACTAATCCCTTCACCCTGAAACTTCATTCACTCAAAACTTCCTATTAATTTATCCATTGTTAATTGAAAGAAGGTCAAAATCTCAGTTCAAGAGTACTCAGGCAAATTAAAACCGGAGCTGAATGAAAACCGGAAACTTCCACTTTTTATATCAACGAAATAACTAACTATTGATGCAGTGTTGCATTCCACTCCATTCAGACAATCTCATCCCTATCACATGCGTGATTCTATTTAAAACTAAAATTAACTTATGTTAAAATGCAGTGTTAAGATAGCCTTCAATAAATATGAGTGAAGGAACTAGATTGAGAGGAAATGCTAATTAAACAGATAATATACGTTATTGTCTCCATATGCATTGAGTACATTTAACTGTACATCAGTCTGATCTAATTAATAGAAATTACATTTGAAATGCATACTGCAAAGTACTCCTCCCAAAGACCATTCGAGCGATGTCTACAGAAGTCGATTTCAGATTGTAAGCTGGATTCTATGTGTTGCACATAATTATAAACCATCGGAACGATAGTAACAGCTGTCAGTATGCAGAAAGTGGATACGGCCGTTCCGAAAAGGCTTATTCGTTTGAGGTTTTCCATTTCTGTCCTTCGGTCATCTGTCACAATCATATTGCCTAAAAAGACAAATTGCTGTCGATTTTTGCTCACTCATTCATTTCATGAAAGGGCGATTGCTGATGGAAGATGATTCAAATGGCGTAGATAGCATATAATGTGATGGACCGATCATCTATGCATAAAACTAACTAAAAGCTACATCAAAGGCTAGAAAAAAGAATTAATCTAATGATGAAATGATTAGTTGAATTCAGGGAGGAACAAACAATGCACTGACTCCGTTTAAATTTAGTCAACGTGTTAATAACGAAGTGAAAGGACTAATCTTGTAAGGGAACTATTTAGTTTCATTAAAAAACTAATGATTTCAAAAAAAAAAAGAAACACAGTTTCTTTTTTTCTTTATGAATTACATCTTTGAATTCTGAAGGGAGGACAGGGGTAAGAAATCTCCATTAAATTATGATATCTAACTGTTCCTAATAACAAGCTTTACATAAAGATAATTCCAAAAAAAAAAAAAAAATGGAAAAAATGAAAAAGAAACACTGATAATAAATCGAAGTTCGGATTTAGCTGACCACCATTTTATGTTATATACCTAAGAAGCATAAACTGTTACATTGACGACTCAAACTGGAATGATTTATTGTTTTAAAAAAATGAGCAAATTTATAAAAATAATCGAGGATATCTGGAGAGATAATAAATAATGTGTACAGAACAGTTTCAAAGATTCTCCCTGGTTCACTTGAATCATTTTTAGTTTTGAGGCAACAACACTACGACTACTGTGGTAGACAGTGTGTCATCTCACACGTCATGCATGACGTAAGGAGATAATGGGGATGAAGTTGATCGCATGGAAGCAGCGGAAAAAGAAGTTTTCCATTCAGGAAATGAATGTATATTATTGAAGATTGACTTACTGTATTTTAGGTATTCTAAGGTTTGTTGCTTGAAGATACTGTCGTTTTCAATAAAATATATTTGATCAACAGAAGCCTTCAAGGCTGTATCCATTCTAGTGATCTTTTGACCTCACTCTTCTCCTCACTCTACCAAAATGGGACTATTTCATAAATGATCTCCATTTCACTTATCATGATTACGGGAATCATCGGTATACTGTGTAAGACATTGTTCTAAGCGATAGCCACGTCATACAAATTCGCGAAATAACGTACTTCATGGTATCGTTGATAATACTAAAACTTGGTATTATCCTATTTGTAGCATATCTAAAATTGCCTGATATTTTGCGACGATTGGAATAGAAATTAGATTTAGAAAAAAATAAATAAATAAATAGATTTTAGTGAGTTGAGAAAGAAATATTAAATCTATCGTTAATTGTGTCAATGGAATGTTATGAGGAGAGAAAACAAGTTGTTGCTATCACTTTAAGAAGCACCACCCTTTTAGATTTGCTTCCAAAGTACGTTTATCACAATTATAATGGTTGTATTGTCTATCGTTGGTTGTTAATCTTTTTTGCTTATAATAGCTTATATCATAACCCTTCCCTTATAAACCCAGTTTGATATTTCAGCTTCTTGTGTATTAGTTGTTTACATGAAGATATATGCGCCATCGCCAGCGGGCAACACCATAATGCTCAAAAATAGCGCCGAACTAACTCTTTTGTTTTAGGTAATTTCTGATGCAATAATAAATGCCTATGAACGATTGACTTTGTGTAACATAACGCAGTCAACTACGTTTGCTTTAAATTCAACACTTTTGTGGACTCTTGCAAAAAGAAGGAAGGGATAGAAACAAGGACTGTGGTTTATTGATGAGGACAAATCCATTTTCATTTTACTGGCTATAAGTGTTCCTTAACAAAAATCATGAATTTCTGTTTTTCTCAAGCTGAAAAAACTCTAGAAGATGACATTTTTTTGGAAGTATTTCGAAATACTTTGTCATAATTTTCACATTATTAAATGCGAGAGTTAATCTTTCATAAATGGTATCCTTCGAAGCATGTAAACTATGTACTAGCTTCGAAGTATTCAATCATACAGACCGAGAAAAAGTTGACCTTTAAGGGAAAAAAGCTATTCTCCTATGTATTGCTGAAATCTTTTTGAAACTTTGATATGTACAATAAAGTCACGACAAAACACACAATTATTTCAATAAGCAGAAGTTGTTCTTGCAAGTGGGCAATGACCACAAGCGTCAAATTTTAGTTTGGGCTGAAGCAGTTCTTCCTACCCTGGTGATTCAGATCCAAGTGTTGCTGAATTATTTGGTGGTCCAATATTATCTGGCCAACTTTTATCTGGTGTACTGGGCAAACCTGTTATACCTGAAGGTCTTGACGATCTAGTCAGTTCAACTGGTAGTTCTTCGTTTTCTCCTAAAAATAAATAAATTTAAAAATCAATTCTATTTATTATTCTCGAAAATTCAAGACGGACAGGAAAATCAATTAATAAGGTATGAGGAAACAGATGAATAATAAGAGATGAAAAAACAGATGAAAATCCATACAAATAACAAACCTTGTATAATGATAACACCTGGACGTCCAAGAGGACCTGGTGGTCCTTGGATACCAGGAAGTCCTGGTGGTCCTATGTGACCTGGTGGACCAGATGGGCCTGGGTGGTAGAGTGAATATCCACGAGGACCTCTGGGTCCAGGAGGACCAGGTAGGCCCTTTAAACCTATGTCGCCAACTACACCTGGTGGTCCCGGAGGACAAGTCATACATACATTTTCATAATGAATATTAGACTTGAAATCTTCGCCAGGTATTCCATTTTTGCCTGGCTTACCATGAATACCTAAATGATATGGTAAAAAATTGAATAAAATAATAGTTTACCCTTATTTTTGTTCAAGAAGCGTTAAAATTTATAAAGCTGCTGCACGCAGTGAGTAAAAAATAATCGTTGACCTGGTTTTCCATCTATTCCAGGAGCACCTGGAGGACCGATAGAACCAACATTACAACCATAGAATCTTGCTTCTTGCACACTGCTACGTGGATATGGAAAATATCGATTTTCTAGAATAACTTGAAAAGATTAAATAATGCAAAAATGAAGAAACAAATTGAATTTTGATGTTAAAAATTTCGACAGAACTGGTACGACATAAATAAAAATTCGTTATTTAATCCTTCTTCAGATTTACATTTAAGATTGTTAATGTAAATTTTTTCATTGGAATATGAAATGATTCAGAGCTGAGAACATAAGGTGAGAGAATCATCGACTCACTGTGCCTTGGATGCAGAGAAGAAGATAAGATCCGAGCCCATTCATAGGTGTTGGGGTAAGGTAAGCGCTCTCGGTAAGGAGCATTGGTGTCACTGTTATAAGACGATGGTAATCCGTAATGGTGTAAAATCTGTCGCTCTTTTCGATTTTTAACATCATTTGTTTCACGAATCTGAAAAGAAAATTATGAATGATTGCAATAACTTTTACAAGGACTCAAATATCTTTTACATTCACGACAAACAGTCATTCCAGTACTGTACTCGAATGAAACACTGAAATTCGAAAAAGCAGTTAGCAAACAAAATTTAAATATCATAAAAAATCTAAAGGTTAAAATTTAGCGGAAAGCAACCTGAATCAGTTGAGACCATAGTGATCGCGATTGATCGAAACAGTAGTCAATTTCCGGTTCCAAAAGCGATAGGGTATGTTGTACATAACCGTAAAGCAATGGCATTACCAGTGTCGTAGTTATGACAGAAAATACTGCTAAAATTACTCCCAAAAATGCTAAAATCCGAAACGATTTTGCCAAAACATGCAAGTTAGTAGGTAAAGGTGCTACTACACCTGTCGTTTTCTGTTCCTTCAAGAATATTTCATCCATTTTGTTACATAGCTCCAATTCCTCCGTTTTTAGGATTCTGTTAATCGCTTTAGTTGTTGAATCAGTCTAGAAATATGCAATACTGGAATCATAATTAACAGAGAAAAAATGGGATTTGAAACTTATGTAATGCTCTACATTTAATAGCATGAATTTGAATTTAGTTAATAATAAAACTTAATTTACCGAATTGGAAAAGAGCAAAACCAAAATACAAATAAATTCTTTTTTAATCTACGAAAATATTGATGAAATAATTATCATTCGGTTTTGCACTGTGATTATCTGTTGTTAAATCATTAAAAATTGACTGGTAATCGAGTATTTTTTTTAGTATTTTCCGTGGATAAATATAATCATATGAAATATGTAAATATAATTATTGTCAAGGTTTGTAATAAATCGGATTGTAAAGATACTTCCTGCCGTAAGCAATTTTAAAATTGTTGAAAAATTTGTTAAAAAGAATAAACAAACAAACAAAAAGCTATTTCGAAGACATTACAGCTTATCATTCACAGTAAAAACCTGAAAACGTCAGAATTTTACGAATAAATAGGCAACAATGTCCCTATGGCTTATAAATCCTTAAATATAATTGCTTTAAGCAATTATGCGTGCTTCATGCATAGTTAGAATCTCAAAATTGCCTTTGCACAAACTTCTTTCCGGAATGTGCAGAAAGACGGGCCTAATTAGCATTTTCTAAAAATTTAAGAACCACAAAGAGGAAAACAGTTTGGAAATCTCTACAAGAAAAGAGACATTGATAAGTGAGAACGGAAGACAGCGGTTTCTTTGTGACTTTTGTCTACCCTAAAGAGATAGGTATCAAGATATCAAGAATCGAGGAATGTTAAATGCTGGAAGAATGAAATATTACAACAAAATCATTCTAGGAACTATAGTTTTGAAATCCCAATAATAAGTACAAATAAATTAAAACTAAGTTAGCTTGCTATAAGACACCGACTCACATTTGATATTCTTTACTGCTAGTCTTGCTATATTAACCTAAAAAGGAAAATCCATGGGCAGAAATTGCTAAAAGAAACATTTGCAAACTATCTATTAGATCGTCATTATATTCTTTGTAGTTCTTCACTCTTGTCTATCAAATGGGCAGAATTTGAAGTGCCCAACTCACCCTAAAAGTACTTCTTTGAATACCACCATTCAGAAAGGACGGTTATCAACAACTTTCT